CGTCATCGCGAGAAAGGCTAATTTGGTTTCGAACATTTCACTCCACAACTACTGCGTTACTGGATTGTACCAATGATTGGTATATGAATCTAGACAGAAAATGTTTAACCAAAAACATTAGATACTGTTGACCATCAAAACGACTTCAAAAACTGCAAAATAGAGCTGCTAGAATTATCTTGAATGTGAGTAGTGGCGTAAATCATGCTATTGCTCTGTGTGAATTGGGTTGGAAACTACTCAAAACATTATGGAAGTACACTAAACCAAAAATGATGTATAAAATATTTAAAAGAATGAGTCCCAAATCACTCATAATTTTTTGTTAAATTTTTAATATAAATTTGTGAGTATTTTACAGACTTTACAGTAAAAATTGTATTAAAGAAGCATTTTGATGGAAAATTACAGGTGCTATTGCCTTATGTAATGTTGGGAAAGTGTGATTTGCAAGTTCTAAGGAGTCAACACTGAACAGTTTGGTGTATATTTGTTCGTGATTTTGGACTTGGTATTTTTACCTCAAATATAATAATATAATAATTATTATATATTGTCGAATTTTTTAAAGGAATTCTTATGCAAAATGTAGGTATAATATGATATTCCGCGTATATATTTATTAAATTGGATCTGTGATTGGATCTGATGGATCAGCTATGGTCAATATCGCGTGGTTGTTTATATTTTCACAGAAGTTGACTGTCTCATTGTATGAACTGTAGTCACTGGTTAGTATTCAAATTGTTAAATGTTTATTATATATATATTTTGTTCATATTTTTGTTGTTGGAAAGATGCCATTAATGGAAAGTGTAAATATCTATATTATACCCCTTGCACTTATTCACTTTCCTCTGCTTCCCATGAGGTTGACAGAACAAAATATTGACAAAGCCCTTGGGTACGGGGTAAAGTTTAATGACAAAAATCATATTACAGTACCTATCCCATTGCCAGGGCAATATTAATATGAAAACATAACATATCTAACAGAAACATTATATTATACAATACAATTGGTTAACTCCATAGAAAATCGTACTGTATAGCAGAAAGGTGAACAATTAAATAACCACTACTATGTGAATGCTGATATCCTTTTGGTTTATCCTGGGGGTAAACTGTGCCTGTTAGGGGCATTTATAATTTACTTACAGGAGGGGGAGTGCCATGACAGTTTTTTTATTTAAACCCCACTTTTGTTGATCACATTTGTTCCCCCCCCCCCCGCCATATGATTGTAAACAACAGATGGTGAAGTGTCGACTTTCTGTCTCCCCCTTCAAAAAATCTATTGACCTTTAATTAGTATTGGCTTCTTATCAATATGAATAATAAATTCTGACATGGATTATAATGTCAAATATTCTTGACCATTGAACTTCCATATCTATTAATAACAACTTCAGTCATAAATCCTTAGAATATGAAAGGTTTGCAACTTTGCATGGCAACAAAAATGAAAACTAAGGGAAAGTTTTTGTTGAAGGTTCCCTGCCTAATATTCAGATAATTTTTGATAGTCCCCTAAATTGTGACCCCTCTCAAAATCACCATTGCCCCCCCCCCCGCCCCCCCCTAGGAAATTACAAATGCTCCCTGGCCAAAATGCGAACAATTTCCCTACATGGAGGGATATTATTTTTTTACAAAACATTATTTACCCCAATAAAGTTATGCAAAAAAATAATGTACTGTATGTACAAGACACTATTTCAATGCCTTAACCTCGGCCTTTCCATTCAGGTTCTTTCCCATTCAGGCAATATATTTTGAAAGAAAACATTGATTTGTCTTCTAAGGGCAACATATTTGCAAGCAAGGTCTTGTTTTTTTTATAGACAGGGATAAATTTTTCCCTCATGTGATCCCCCCCCCCCCTTTGTGACACTCTGCAACTCCTGATTAAACACCCCTCTATCCCCACAAGCATTATGTATTTTGGGAATGGCCCCATATCACATATGGAATAAATTTGTTTTCAGTTTACTAGCAATAGAGTATGAGAATCCAAAATCATGGATTTGAAATGAAGTAGTATTTTAAAACATTGAGGTCAGGATATGTGGGTCAAGGAAGGTCATTGAAATTGACCTTCATTGGCTTGAATGACAATTGAATGGCTATTGTGCAAGTAAACAAAGAAATGCATGATAAGTATGTGTGCATATAGTAATACTTATATTAAAATGCATGAATATCTGTAATTTAAAGGCTAGCCTTAATTTTATCAGCATATGACCGGAAACAATAATATTGGTAAAAAAGTGACAGAACACCACAAAGTCATATTGAAAAACAAAAAAGGTACTCTCTCTAGTCAGGCCTCTAACACAAGTGAATAAAGTCATCAAGCCCCCTATCACTACCCCCCCCCCCTCCCCCAATTAACACAAAACCACTGCAATTGATTTTGATAAGATTGTTTTATTCTTACATAAGTTTTAGGCAGACCCTACCACGACGAGTAAAATTGTCTGGCATATTATTATAAAGTAAGTTATTCTGGGCAAAACACCTTTTCTCATTTTCTCAATACATTTTCTCATCCTGGTATTTTACTTTGTTTATTGCCAGACAATTTTACTTGTCAACAAAATATATTGGGCATATAAAATGAAATTTAATTGGCATATGAGTATCATGTTCAACTTGACTTTTCAGTTAGCTTGATACTGATAGTCGGGCACTATATATTTCACTAATAAAACTTAAATCTGGTATATGTCAAACCTTTGGTATTATAAATATTAATAATATTAAAGACAAATATATTTGTATTGATACTGCAATGTACTTTCTAAAAATAAATTCATGCAACGGTCCTTTCATTAGCAAGTGAAATGTTCTGTTCCATTAACCTTACCATTACTTCCAGTGTGTGGTTTTAAATGCTGTGTCGAGAAATGCTGGTTAATATTTATATTTTTGAACAAATCATTTCGGTCAACACAGTCTTTGTGTGGAAAAGCCAACAAATTATCAGTGCCAGTGGTGTCCTGAAAGGTTTATCAACTTGACAAAATACAAAATTTAAATATAATACGTGTTTTAAAAGCATTTCGTTACATTTTAATACAACAGTAAAGATTAATCCAATTCACGTAAATACACCGCCATGTTGATTATGCGAATTTTGCTAGGCCTTCCAGCGCGACCCATTCGGATATTTTCCGAAACTGACAGCCCGCAAGTTCACGACAGCCTGTAACTCGCCCGCGCTTGGAGGCCAGGGACTAGGCTGCCCTGCACGCATTCCGCGCATTCTTTCGATAGCATAAAAGCAACCTACATTTAGCTCATGGTATAACAATTATACGAGCTCATGGTATAACAATTATACCATGAGCACGAGTCGTATATGAGCTATCAGCCATATATGACGAGAGCGAATGGTATAATTGTTTTATAATATAGTCTAATAGTCATTAACTGAAGCAATAATTAATTATCCTCTGTTACAATCTCTTGACAATTTGTTCGGCCAAAAACCGCTTAGCCTTGAAAGTTTGAAATACTTTTGTTTTTAATACAACTCGAAGACGAAGTGAAAGAAATGGTTTTAAAACCGGTATATCTCACAGAAAAGCTCAGATATATTATACAGATGTTTGGTAGTAGAGTAAGTGCCTGTTGACTGCAAATTCATTTGTCTTTCGTTGCAAACTTTTCTGAACAATTTATATTCTCAATGAACATGTTTTTTTCGCTGTTTTTTCGGTATTAATTCTTCAAAAAAACTTATTTAAACTAATTTCTATGTAATTGATGTATTTTCCTAACCTGTCAAATTTTTTTGAGAGTTTTTCCTTGTACTATTATCTTTCTCAAAGCGAATATTTTCCTTTTGTCTGCTTCGCAAAACTCATGTAGTTTTTGGACCGTCGTCTTGTTTTTCGCTACTCGCCGTACATGAGCTGATATACGGCGAGTAATTCAACCAACCAGATTGCAGAACAGCTCATATACGGTGAATGGCTATATTATAAATTGAGGGAATTGATAATTTAGGGAATTGATAATTTTGTAATTACAGTGATATTTATAGGGGATTTTTCATTTGTAATAATATTCTTAACAAAATCAGCGTGATGTTTCCGATGTTATTCTGAGTCTGTATCCACACATCATATTCACCTGAGTACATAACACCAACACAAAAAATCATCGTGTTTCCATGACGACTATTTTAAGTGCTTCATGTTCGGAAAATACAATGGTTTTGTCAGCAAAGCGAGGGATTTCTGCTTGCATGTATTTTCTAGTATGTTACTATTTTAATACTCTAAATCTTTTAAAACGTTTGTATAAATACCTCTAATTATCACTTTCTTGTACATGTAAATATCTTATTTATTATTTTGCACACGCCCCTCGTGGAAAGCAGCTTCGGTTGACGGGGTCAGCGTGTATAAATAAAATTTCTATTTATCTATCTAGTCAGTCTTCACTTGTTTCTTATATTTTAGACAAAATGGACTTTTACTGAAGGGGCTAATATAGTTTCCTGGGGGCCCAACATGGGAGCTGGATGGGCGTTTTATGACCCTTAGTTACGTAATTTTAAATTTATATTTTCAGGCTTAGCTTTGTAATTTTAAATTTTACCTGCCCCCCTTGGATACCAAATTACATCGAAGGGAATAGTGTGTTTAAATAAAGTTGGCCTCGCCTTCCTTTATAGTTACGAAAAAAGAAAGGGTTATAGAAACATGCGCACAATTTTGGGCGAACGAAAAAAACACGACTTCTTTTCTGACTTGAAACTATTGAAATTAAGCCAACTTACCCGTGCTGTATATGTGTAGACTGGTAGAGTTTGGTTACTCTTCCCATAACAAGATACCTTGACCCAATCATCGTTGGGGCGCGAAGGTACGGAATAATAAGACAACTTGAAGGCTTGCGTGTGCTTGACGAGATCGTCCGTTTTCAACACGTCATCAGAAAAGAAACCATCAGCTAAACTGTGCATACCACCCACCAAGCAATGCATATCAGCCGACCACCAGTGTCCTAGCTGAACACGAAGATACTTTTAGCTTCGTAAGAGAATTGTGAAGGAATGGAATATAGGTAAATACAGCATAACCTCGCACTGCATCATTGGACCAAGGCAACAGTTTAGCAAGGGTCGCCATATCTAAATCTTGTCGACTGTCTTCAGGAACCTTTGCTTTGATTGCATCAATATTGCTTTCAAGAAAACTTTCCAATGTAAACTGACTCCATATGTTAATCCACTTTTCCCACACCTTGATTTCTTCATCAATGGTAGTTGTGTTTCCTAACAACCTTTTCAATTGGTCAGTGACAATGTTGGTTGTTTGATTGTAATAAGCACCTAAATATAGTTTACATAGGTTAAATTATAAATAACAATAATGTCATACAGGTCCTGCTCTAGTTATAGATTCATATCTCGAAGACGGTTAATGTTAGTTATTGCTAATCCTATCTCTAACAGTGCTCTTAACCGCTGGGACCTCACCCGCAAACAGCGCGCATGAAATGATTTAGAATCTATATAGATCTTCTATCTAACGCAAAAATTGCAACCCAAACCGAACTGCCGTTTACTGAAACCGGATACATTTGAAAATACTGCATTGACTGGTAGATGGTTACGTGTATAATTCACGTACTTTTTGTTCTTGAACTTAGCTTCTTCAATTTCATTTTAAGGTGGCTCAATACAGTTTTCAAAAAATGGAAAACTCACAATTTAGATCCATATTTTTGGACAGTTGTTACTTGTTGAAAAACAAAAAATATTTTATTGACATAAAACAAGATCTAAAGGGTTCAAATTTTTTCAAACGTTACGCAACTGCTGTTGCTATGGCAACAAGGACATTCAAGATGGCCGAAAATTTTTATGATGATTTTTTACGATATCGATGATCCCAAATGTTATTCCATAAAGTGGTTTCTTTTACTATACGCAATGGAAGTTTTCGTCGAGGCATTGTCACAATAATTGAAAAACTTTTAAATTCAATACACTTTTTGTTTTTCATAAATACAGGTCTAAATCGTCAATTTTCTCGTTTTAAAAACTATATCGAGCCACTTTAAAGGGTTTAATTTAACTTGTAAATACTGCAGCCTAATGCATAGTAGTTGTAGATACGCTTGTAGTAACTAAGTATTCGGAAATTTGTATACTTCACGCACCATCTATACTTCACGAACCTTTTGTTTTCATGAATTTGGCTTCTGCAGCGGACCCAATGGCGCAAAGCGCCGTTCCGTGCGTAAGCCCGGTGAGTGGGTACTAATTCCGCTCGGCTATTTACACCCGGGAAATGGAAAGCATTACCGAAGTGTGAAGTTGATGAAACATCGCCAGCGTCTGGCTATGATCCAAGGGTGGACCTCCCGGCTCGCACTGATCTCAAGAAAATGGGGGATTGTCATGGAAAAGATTGGTCAAGATTAAATTTCGCTTGATGATGACTGCATTGCAACATCATAATATAAACAGACACTATTTGAAAGTATCTGATTTGTTAAACCACGGGCTTTAGGACAAATTCATTTTGACAACAATAGTATTCTATCTAAATAGCAGTTAAAATAAAGTGTACGGCACCTGAACTGTTCAATATCTTTCTTCTATATCCATAATACATTTATATATTTACGCGGTTCACACGAAACATTACGTCGGTGATTGTCACTACTAATAAGTATAAGAAGAGGGTAGGATCAAATTGGGAGTTGTCACTCGCTAACCCTATCAGCTGTCTGGGTTCTGTACCACGTGGCCTGTTCAAATCGTTCCGAACGGGAGAAATCTTATGACATCATAACGACTTCGATAAAATATTTTGGGGACACGTTTGTGCCAAATAAAGAAGTTGAGGACACGTTTGTGCCATATATGGAAGCATGGTTTCCTCGCGCTTCGAACGATTAAAAATTGGATGATCCTACCCTCTTGTTATTAGTGAAAATCACCGACGTAATATTTCATGTGAACCGCGAAAGCTTGGGTTCTAATGTAAATAAATATGGCGGATTTTGAAAATATACAGTGTTTGCATATGCAAATGTTTTATGGATACATAAGCAAGATTTTGAACAGTTCAGGTGCCGTACACTTTATTTTAACTGCTATTTAGATAGAATACTATTGTTGTCAAAATGAATTTGTCCTAAAGCCCGTGGTTAAACTGATTTTTATACGGGTTCTTTTGAGAAAACTTTAAAAAATAATTAAGCAAATGAAGTATTAAAGAAACATTGTGGAACCAAACGAAGACCAGGAAAAAGGAGAAGACGGGGAAAAAAGACGAAAGATTTTTATACAAGTTCTTTTGAGAACATTTAAGAAAACATTAAAGATAGGGTACAGTCCGATCTGCGCATGCGCACACAGGAGTCTCCTACCGTGTTATAAATACATTAATTAGGTTTTTATTTCATTTTCTGTTCTTGCAAAGCCTGATTGTTGTATCTTGATAATTTGTTATACTGCAGAAAAATGAAAATATATTAAATAGTTGTCGAATATTAAATAGTTGTTCAATATTTTCAATACCGAAATGTAAACAAAGGCTTTGTTTACATATGGACTGTACCCTACCTTTAAATGAAACAAATAAAATATTAAAGAAAAACCAAACGAAGACGGTAAAAGAGACTTGCTAAAAGAAGGGAAATATGGACGCCGATGTTTGCTACAAGAGACTGAAAAACCTTATTCAGAAACCCGAAAATCGTTAATGAGACGTGCAGCCAAACTGTTCATAAAAAAGGTTGGGGCAATAGATTGTTTTAAATATTTATGTATGGTTGCTTTATAATTGCTTTGAAAACTGATCCTTGCGTATAATTACACTTTTTCATTACATTAAATTCTTTAAATCAAGAGGAAAGCAAAGTTAGTTTCATGCGAGTATTTGAAATTATTGTATATCGGACTCAAAGTTTATCGATAAAAGGAAATTTATTTTTAAGAACATTTTAAAACGTTTTCCGAAACGTTCGTGCATGGTTGAATTTTACAATAAATTGAAGCTTATATTTTATATTATATTTTGGAAAATTGTACATGATAATTTTGTAATTAAAAGTGATATTTTTAGAGGATTTTCAATTTTGAAAATATTCTTAATAAAATTATCCTGTTCCACAACAACCGGGTTTTTTTTCAAACACTTTACAGTATATGTTCGGAAAATATAATATTATATTATATTATACCTCAAATTCAAATTGTCCAATGAAAAACAGCATTTGTACCACGTGATAATGTGATTATTTTACGGTATTTCACTCAAATTCATGATTTCGCAATCCAGCGTGGGATACTATAATATCCCACGGCAGATCCACCGTGGGATATTATAGTATCCCACGCTCACGCGTGACGCGTGGACAATCACGCTCTGAAACAATATTATGGCGTTCGCGAGCTGTTGTTTGTAATTTCGTATTTTCGTACAGAATCAAATATTTTAAATTAAAGAGGAAACGTCAAAAACTCAGGTATACATAAGAAATTAAAAATCGTATTCGCGTAGTCTATAGGCTAATATTCAGCAAGTTTTAAAGTTTATTCTGAACTTAGCGAGTTCTTTAACTTTTGGTAAAATATATCATTTATAGACCCTCCGCTCGGGGGATTCGGCGGTATTTCCCTCATTGATAATATTTTCCTCGGGGCAAAGCCCCTCGGAAAATATCATCACTTCGGGAAATATTACGCCGAATCCCCCTCGCCCCGGGTCTATAAATGATAAATATATACCACGTAAATTTATTACTGCAAAGCTTTCGATTCGTAAGCCCAGATCTTTATCAGTGCTATAATATGTGACTTGTTCAATTCACAGGCCCTTTTATATACCAAAGTGTGGTGATCTGATGGCCCGCGTCATTTGGAATTTTATTCTACGGTTACATCAACCGCGCCATTTCAAACGTAGTGAAGTGATTTTAATTAATCAAAAAATACGGATCTAAATCGTAAAATTTCCATATTTTTAAAACTATGTCGAGCCACATTGAAGGGATTAATAACTTGTAAATAACCTAATTTGTGATGTAGCTAGCGTGAACAACAAACAAGATTGCCTGATTTGTGATCTACATAAATAAACAAAATGGCTGCACAGCTCGGATAATTAGAAACTACGATTTTCCAAGTTTGTGTTCAAATAAGTCTAGGTAATCATGCGATATTGTCAATGATGTGTTCAAATAAGTCTAGGTAATCATGCTAGGTAATCGTACAATTAGGGATAAAATAGTATGAGTGATGTTTGGAAATGTTGCCAAAATTGGACGAGCCGCCGGGGCTAATCTGATTTCGTTATTTTCTCTATCTGACTACGACTGCATACTTACCAATATTCTTGATCTTTTCCTTCATGTCATTATGCATTCCATCCTTCCATTTGGGCCACACTCTATTAAAATAATGTTCCTCCCATTCTAAACATGATATATGGTAAATAAAAATAGATCAAAATAGGTATAGTCATGTTTTAATTGAATGTCCCGGACCACCGATATCATTATCCTTTAGTGATTATATACATAATCTAGTGTACGACATTGGTGAGGGGTTTTGTCATAACATTCTCTTTTCCCGAGCCACGCGCGGATTTAACGTAAACTACAGCAGCAAGTCCTGTTTCGTCTTATAATTAATTAATTATCAGAACTTCGCTTATTTTTTGGGCGTATTGTAATATATTTTCAAAACGTTTCGCCGGGTTGTTCGCGAAAAGCAAATAAAAAAGCCGTAAGCGAAGCGTCATGCGAATGTTGAAATAAATCATTTTAAATCTTTCAAATTGTGGCTGTAGTTTGTATTTTGGGTTGACAACTCGGCTTCGTTGTCTATGACGAATAGTGAACTCAAGGTACGCCTTCGTTCTATTCGCTCATAGACAACTCGGCTTCGTTGTCTAATTGTTAATATAGACCCGAAACGAGTGGGATTCGGCTGAATATTACTCAATTGTGTTAATACTTCGCTCAAGTCTCCGAGCGAACGGCCTATAAATGATATTTTATACCGAACGTTAAAGAACCCAAAACCGGTTATATATACCGGTGGCATTTACGTTTCCCATACAAATTAATCAGTTGAACCTGTATCATTTGAATCATTAAAGGTAAGTTAACATACTCCTAATATAATATTGACGTGAAGTTCTCGAGGTTTTAATGCCTATTGAAAGGCGTACTAAATTAATTTGAATTCATTTAATGAAAATAAATTTGAAATTAATCCTTGGTAGATTTTGGTAGTCTTTTGAGGCAAATGTTTTAGGGCTATCTTTAAAAGCAGGAACGGGGAATCTGGGAACGGAACGGGAAAAACAGAAACACGAAAAGCCGGAATCTTTAAAAACAAGAACGTGAAAGGCCGGCATCTTTAAAAACAGGAACGCAAAAAGCCGGAATCTTTAAAAACAAGAACGCGAAAAGCCGGAATATTTAAAAACAGGAACGCGAAAAGCCGGGATCTTTAAAAACAGGAACGCGAAAAGACGAAATCTTTAAAAACAGGGACACGAAAAGCCGGAATCTTTAAAAACAGGAACGCGAAAAGCCGGAATCTTTAAAAGCAGGAACGCGAAAAGACGGAATCTTTAAAAACAGGAACGCGAAAAGCCGGAATCTTTAAAAACAGGAACGCGAAAAGCCAGAATCTTTAAAAACAGGAACGCGAAACTGAGTATGATTTTATAGTGTGAAAAAATAGTGAAGTCAGTCTGAATTAGTGAATATATATCTTAAAAATTTCGATTTCCCAATATTCCAGTAATGTAGTGCTTTGTTACACTACATAAAAAAGCGCAAAAATCTTTACAATCAGAAAGCTGCAGTCAAGCAAGATGTATGGAAATACTACTCCTCCAATATTTGTATATTCAGAAACAATTCACACCAAGTCTTGAAACGTCATCCATATTTAGAGAAAACGTGGGCCTACATAGGTTTTGAGGGTGAAGAATGTTAGGTCGAAGTCGTCGAACTTGCTGGGAATTTGAATTATTTCAATTTCAATTTATTAAAAGATACCAATTTTGCAGTTAAAAACTGAATTACACCGGTTTACATGCATATAAGTAAAAATGTCTACAAACACTCCTTATTTACAAGTTGTTAATTTTGATAGTTCTAGGTAAGAATGTAGCTAAACTATTATTTAAAACTAGAGTTGTAGGCCTTACTACCGGCCATAATAAAACTATATATATTAGCAAACCTACTTGTCCTATGCTTTGGTATTGAAAGACTGTATATCCTGTTTTATGTCTTGGGGGAACCAGAGAATGGAGTTTATGGGATGTTTCATCACACATTTGATCGAAAAGTTTCTCGCAAATGGTCTTTCTCCGCAGGAACAGTGACACCACACCAGCACGTACCAATTAACGCATCTTCATATTTGAGATCAGGAAAGATTATACGAAGGGGTCTGCGTTGAATACTCTCGATCTCGCTGCTCAAGTATTGCGCCAACCTATAGTGCCATACCTCGTAAGAAAATTCTAAGTTTGGTCGAACGCAGGTGGTATAAACCCGAACTAACTTGCCCGCTGGTATAGAGGGACTCTTAAGTAATCCTAAGGCATACAACCGCTTCGAAACTTTCTTGGAGATATAATCAACGTGCTCGATCCATTTAAGATCTTTAGAGATCATGTCACCAAATAATTTTGCATGCGGGGCCACAACTATATCATGACCGTCAATGGTGATCGGCGGAAGAGCCCCGGGATCACGAGGAGAAAACCCAACACGAACTTCTTTTGTTTTTGTAGGTGTCAATTTCATGTTATTCTCAGAAGCCCATTTAGTAGATTCTGTAATTTGAGACGGTAGGGCCGAGTTGGATTCTTGACACTTGAAGACAATCTCCCAGATAGTGGTGTCGTCAACAAATTTCACCGTATCGTCAGAAATATTCAAGTCGTTCACCATGATGAGGAAGAGGAGGGGGCCCAGTTTGGTTCCTTGTGGGACTCCTCCGTTGGTAGTTCTTCAACCCGAAAAATTAGAGCCAATTCTTGTTCTCTGACTTCTGTCAGTAACGAAGTTGGCAATCCAATTAAAGACTAACAAATCTACTGGTTTGGATAAAATTCCAGCCAAAGTCCTTAAACTAACTGCAGATATCGTAGCTCCGTCACTGTCCTATATATTGAATTTATCACTCGAAACAGGGATTTATGTTGACGACTGGAAACGGGCTCGAGTGAATCCAATTTATAAATCAGACGACAGACTAAAATGTGAAAATCATAGGCCGATTTCTATACTGCCAATCGTAAGTAAGGTTTTTGAAAGAGAGGTTTTTAGACAAATTTATAGCTTTGTTTCTGATAATTTCTTACTCTCCAAGTTTCAATCGGGATTTCGACCTAAACACTCCACACTGTCCTCTTTGATACAAATGTGTGACGATCTACTTGAGAATATGGATAATGGCAAAATAAATTGTGTCGTGTTCCTTGATATACGCATGGAAAATAAAATAACTGGATAGGAAACTAGCTGACGTGATCTAATGTTTTTACTGGGATTGATGGCGTGGTGGATGCCTCAACCTAGTTGAAAATCAAATTCTCAAAAACGGCATGTTTAGCAATAATACAGCTAAACATTTTAGTCAAAGAGCAAATAAATGTAACCACACCATTCTACGATGAAAACTCTAAGTATTCCCAGTCAATTTTAGCAAATATTTCAAGCACTAAACAGTGAAAAATACATCGCAAATTTCGCAAAAATTTGTGACGCCAATTTCGTAGCTACAAATGTAAAAAAATACAAAACAAAGACGAAAAACATTTACCTTGAATACTTTGTCGTGGCTTAGGCATGTTTTTAAAACAATTAGACCAGCTTACGCTTCAAGATCACCCTTTTAAAGTGGAAAATATAGCAAAACAACAAATATGCCGAGAACTTTGGTAATATTCGCAATACGCGTGACGTCACGTTTTTCAACAAGGATGCAGTCAATGACGTCAGAAGTTTCCAATCCATTTATTTTATTATCCATGGTTAAACCAAGCATTGTCAAGCATCGTCACGTCTTTCATGCAACGTGACAGCTTGATTGCGGCCCAAGAGGTGATACTTAAAGCAGAAATTACAGCAAACATTGCATCGCTTTAGCCAAACTTAGCCGTTTTTAAGGTTATTTGAAAAAGTTTCAAACATTTGTTACAGCAAACAAATTGTTTAGCGCTCATTCTTGAACTGAAATTCAGACCGCGTCGTTGAGCCGGCCCGTAGATCTTAAACTCTTTATTAACTATAAATAGTAGTCTATCTCTGCGGTCTGTCGAAAATGGAAAGGTAGCCCAGTAGATAACTTAGCAAGAATAGCAACTGTATTGGAGGATTGGTAATTAAACTTTGATATAAAACATATAAAAGACGTTTTTCGGACTAATAATATCTTGTAGCAGATGATGGGTCATCCTGCAGTTAACAAAGTGAGAAAATAATGTGGTAGTTCCATTGAGCTGAATATAACTGGAACGCGACCTCCAACAGGAATTTTGAAGCCAAACTTGAAGGCCAGGCCCAGTCTTTTCACGCATGCGAAGAGCGCTCAATCCTTAGTTCAATCCGTCAATCATGATATAAACATGCGTGATCTGTCCAAACTTTTCAGCTTGCGGGCGTGTGGATACACACTCAGAGTAACACCACAAACATCATATAGGTTTAGATATTTTGTCAGTTGTCAGTTAAAATTCCAGTCGATTGTCAGCTATAACAGGAGCCATGCCCGCCCCCACCCCCCGGTCGACAGGGTTTTTAGCAATTTTTAAGGTATAGAAATATAAATTTTAGAGGTAGAGATATAATTTGAGGAAAAATATCCCTTTTCCAATCCCGAAACAGGCCAAATGTCTTTTCGCCAATTCCATTTAGTCGGTAGGATATGTAACAGCTTATTAGGATTAAAAATTAATGGCATGCGCATTTCTTGTGTCTCATATTTATTGTATTCATTTAATGATTTGCAGTTTCATTGTATAGCGCTTTACGTTTTGCAAAACGTTTTGCGAGACAGCTGAAAGCGATTGTGCACTAAGTTTTGCGCACAAACACTGAACGCTTACCACGGTAAGAATGAGGTCTCAAGACGGCAAAAAATCAGGGTTTTGCATGTTTTGGGGTATTTTGTTAGTGGTTTTAGCGAATAGAGTAAGTGCGTCGAATGCTGAATTCTGTCGACAAGGCATTTTCAAGCCAAGCAAAGGTAAAAAATTAAACTGTTATATTGAGTTGCAATCAAAAACGAAACTGTCAATAAAATACATGGACAATAACTTAACTTCAGTCTTCAAATAGACTTTTAGCCCACTGCTCAGCAACTTAGTACTGCTATTATTTTCCCCATATTTCACACGCTGTCTTATTAGAGGAAAGGACGGAATATTTTAAATGCAATATCACAGAGACGCATCATGATTTTATAAACAACATTCGCCCAAACTTGTGTGCCACACTGAAATAATTTTGTAATAAGGCCACATAAAAATATTAAAACTTCGGTTGATAAGGATGAACTACCTGAAAAACACAAGGAGAATTTCAACGTTTCGGGAAGCTAATTACTCACTAACTCCCCGACGAAGGGAGTTCGTTCGAAACGTTTATGTTCTCCTTGTATTTTTCAGTCAGATATAGTTGCTCCCTGTTCAAACCGAAGTATTGTTATTATTGGTAGCCTACTATACCTATATACACTGGCACGAAGCGTTTAAGATTAAAAAATATTACTTGTTTAGGTCGGGCGGGAGCTTTCATTTTTTTTATACAAGGACACCGCTGGCGCTGTAATTAATCATGGCACACAAACACAGTCTAATTTTATAATATAGCAGTTTTAGCATATCAATGTATATACGCAGATGGGACATGTGTATATATTGATTATTGGATCAAAAATTTGTACACAAATCTATCACGGCAGTTGAATAACTCGATTTAATACGGCAACATCCAAGCACAAATCGACATTTTATATGTATATGTGCAACTACTGGGGAATTTTTACACAAAATATTATTATTAATTAATAAAGGCTTTTGAAAAAAAAAAATTGAGGACGTAAACAGATAATCTATATATTAATATTGGGTAGCGTAATGAAATATAGGCTAACTACAAAAATGCTATAGACAAATAAAAGTATTTGTTATATATTTGAACGTTTTACGATATAGAATACACTCAGTGTTTATTAGATAGAACAGGCAACAGTAAACAGTACATGCTGCTGAAACACTTTGTAGCAGGTTCTTTGATTGTTAAAATTATTCAGTACATTAAACAGCTTTATTCATGAAATAGAATTGTTTTGTGAATGTTGTTTATTTTTTCCACGTCACTTGTATAACAAAATACCTAATGTCTGTTTCGTCTTTCAAATCTCCATGTGAAATTCTCGGGAAAAATTTCCCTCGGGAGTGGAAGTAAATTAATACAGGGTAACGATTGATACACCGGGTGGAAAACGTAATTTAAAAATGAAAATTAAAGCCCAGCAAATGATTTTCAGACAAGACATAACATAAAGATGCTCTAATTTTGTTATGCCTTGTCTGAAACTCACTTTGCTGGGCTTTAATTTTCATTTTTAAATACAGGGTGTATAATGTTATCATGTGCCAATATTACGTTCCAGGGTAGCCTGAAAACAGACCTACGTTTCGCCCGTAGCCCACCAACAACCATCCCACCCGCAAATTTTAGGGCGAGCAAAACGAAGGTCTGTGTTCAGGCTAGTTTCAGGGCCGCCGAGAGAATTAGCGGGGCCCGGGCCAAATCTTCTCTGGGGCCCCCATGACATCATTATTTTTAAGCTAGATAACCCAACTAGACCTTAGCTAGACTGCATGTGGAGCTACTGTAAGGGACCCTCAATTTAAAAAATGCGCTGATCAACTTAAAGAACCTACTCAATTTTAGGCTCTCGTTCTCAAATTGGAGCCCTATTAAGGTGGGGGTCCAAGGCAATTTGCCCCCCCCCCCTTGCCCCCCTCTCGGCGGCCTTGTTACGTTTAATTAATTAAAGGTTTTCTGCTTACGTATTTATAAAGATCGCGCTTTTAGCAGTCAAATGACATCATTGTCAAAACATTGCGATAAAAATAACCAAATATAATCTGATTTAAAGTGGTCGGTTGAAACCAAATTTTTCCACATTTAAGATTTGTTCTGCAAATTTTCGAACATTTGCCCAAATGCTTGTTGCCCTTTTGGGAACGTATGGTTGCGAGTTCAGTCTGAAAACTTCCAGTTCTATAAAATGTTTTAACCGCTCAATTTTGGTACAAAATTGCGAGTAAAAATTTACAAAAACTTGATGCTTACACATGCGTTACGCCTTCTTTACTCAAGCGACTTCAATTTGAATAGTCCAGCTTCTCTAAACGCAAGTTCATGCCTATATATGGTGAATAATGCCAAGGCGAGGGGACTGGCAGCAAACGTCTGTAATTGTGGTATCTGTCTTTTTTTAGAACCACTGAACGTTAATGTTATACAAAACAAGTTTTTGTCCAGTTCGTTTTGGAATGTGCACATCTCTGCTGAGCTAAAAAAACCTGCATGCGAGGCATCCATCTCTTCATTCCATAATGTCTCTGACTAGCTCTCCTTCATCTCTTCTTATTACGTGTCCATACCATCTCAACCTTGCTTCTCTCACCTTCTCTGCAATGTCTACCACACCACATCTTCTTCTGATCTCTCAATTCCGTAATGTCTCTGACCAGCTCTCCTTCATCTCTTCTTATTACGTGTCCATACCATCTCAACCTTGCTTCTCTCACGTTCTCTGCAATGTCTACCACCAACGTCTTCTGATCTCTTCATTCCATAATGTCTCTGACCAGCTCTCCTTCGTTTTTTCTTATTACGTGTCCATACCATCTCAACCTTGCTTCCCTAACCTTCTCTGCAATGTCAACGTACCAGCCCAGATTTTTTCCTCATCTCTTCATCCTATATGTCTTTGAAATATTCTTCTCTAATCGTGCATCTTAATTTTTCAGACCCACTGTACTTTAACGTAACAAAGCAAGTTTTCGTCGATTCAGTTTTGGAATGTGCGCATCTTTGCCAAGCCGAAGGTTTAACCTGCGAGGCTTTCAAACAGAGAAACGTTCATGACGATGTCAACTGCCAAATAACCGAAGGTGAACCTGAAGTTTCAACAATGCTTGAAAATGATGCAACGGAGAAGTGGACACTATATACTTTAGAAACAATTGAGTCGGTACGAAATTATCAACTTAGTTGTCAGCAGTATTCCAAGCATTTGCGTATTGCTTTGCATTTTTTTTATTTTGTCGACATATGTTGGAAGCATGCATCCAATTGTACTCTAAACTACCACGGTAGGAACCAACTGCATCGTTTAAAATAAAAAATAAAAAATAAAAAATAAAAAATCATAAATACATGAAAAGTTGAATTTTTCATATCAATTAGAATACTAAGAATAAGAATTCAACTATTTTGTTTCTCCATTCCCAGCCGGACTGTGTGAAGAAGAATTTGTGCAATGGGGCTGGACGATGCTTGGCTGACAGCTGTGAGGCTGACGGATTCAAATGTGAATGTTCTGATAATTATTATGGAAAATATTGTCAATATGAAAAATTTTGTAAGTAATATAACTTTATTCTTGTTTATTTTCCCCATTATTTTCTCACTTTGATAACTGCAGGTTGTCCCCCATCTGCTGCACGATACCGCTTAGTGAAACCTGGCGATACGATCAATTTTCCTTTATTTTAGATGACTACGACATAAACTTCCCAAACACCACGGCTAACAACTTCATAGACCTGCGAACAACAGAGATGGACATCAATGAGTTCACGTTCACCGCATGGATTAAGTTTAATCCAGGATTTATTAAATACCCTCTGGTCTCATACACCACTGAAAGCTCGACAGAAATGTTCGCGCTTGCGTTTCGCTCAGATGATACAAGCGGGACGACAATAGCCGAATTTTCTGGGAATTTGCTTGGTCAGGATATTGGGTAAGTTTTTCTAAGCAATATTTTATATACCGTGGGAGGAGATGAGGATCATGCATCTGGAGTTGAATTACAAAAGACGCGGCTCCAACGTGATGGAATTGAAGGTTTGGTAGCGCGCCTCTGCTGCTGGAGAATAACGAGTCTAAACATGTAAGGCGGTGACGTCAGGACGGCAGCATTCAATACAATGACATTAATCCTATAGCACAAAAGAAATGAAGAATCAAAAGTGTAGCAGGGTTTATAGACGTCGTTCAAGCTCTGTTGACAACAGTAAAACGTATATTTTTACGTCTCGTATAGTACGCTAGCATTTCAAGCCGTGACAGGTAGTTTTTTATGTGCCGGACAAATTATGGAAAATAAAAGAAGTTCTTTTGTCGGGCAAGAAGAACACCCCCCCCCCCCTAATACGTACAGTCAAGTTGCGCCCCCGGTAGCATCGTAGCAAGCTCAACTCAGGAAAACGTTTGTAGTATTACATTTTCCAACTGTTTTTTCTAGCACAAATACCATACCTATAAACGATGGTTACTGGCACCATATGGGATTCGCATGGTCTGGTGTTACTGGCGAGTGGATCTTACTTATTGATGGTGTTCTTTGGGCGACCAAAGTTTCCAGAGTAGGGAAAATATCATCAAGTGGTGGTCAGTTAACCATCGGGAAAATTAAAGACAATGGAGTAATTTACCATTTAGTTGGAAACGTAAGTCGTGTGAATCTATGGAGCACAGCAAAGACGGGTGGTGAGATTGAAGAGATAGCTAAGAGACCTGGGTCAAGAGATGGTGATTTGATCACTTGGTTTATGGTAAAGGATTTAATATCTGATCTAAGAATCATTCGTCCATCTACGGCAGCTTTTTCAGGTTGGTTTTAATGAAAATAATTCGCGAGGTCTGTTCTTACTAGTCCATTATCACCACAGAAGAAAACCAGAATGTAGTAGAACTCGAGGACAAATTATTATCTGACAACTGCAGCAGAATCTGAATCCTGACACAAAGATGAAAGTCACATCCTCTAAATACTGCGACACTAATAGCCTACCATCTTTATCATTTAAATCAATTTAGGCAATGGAACGAACTACGAGATACCTCTACCACTGGCGAATGTGAATTATCCAGGACCATACAAAACCACGAGCATTTTATCAAGCTGTCTTTGGTTCTATGGAAGTACGGTCAGTGGAGACACAACGTTTTTTGTCTATGATACCGTGAACATATTTGGCATCAGTTCAGTCGACATGGTTTCCACAATTAATGGTTTCTCAAGCAAAAGGTGTGTGTCATAATTTCGGAAGCATTTTCCAAGCCAAAAAGTTGAGTCATGTATGCTACTGTAGCTAAGGGTAGGGTATTCCAGGCTGTAACGTTTTGGCTTTGAAGGAAATTAATTTCCTGCGCAAAAATTCTTGCCATTATCAAAATCTGCCAAAATTTTGCAAATTGTAAAAAATTGCAAATAATTTCTGAAGAATCTGCACAAAATGAACCAAGAGCGAAGTAGATTTGACTGCCGGATTCCTTGATCTGCCATAAATTTTCTGTGGGAATAGTGGACATTTCTTCGCATTAATTGTGAGCGTCTGGCTCCGCTGTGTCACGCAATTACACTGTGTGATTCCAAAGTCGACCCACATCCTTTTATTTTTCTTCCCAGAGGTTCCTATGTATACAATGGAATGAAAGGGCGCGGGGGTCATCCCTCTATGCATAAATCTACCTAATTAGATATCTACATAATGAAAATCTTTCTCTCTCCAGAATTACTGTAAAAGGTTTCAGACGATGGCATTTTCTTTGTATACAATGGAATGGAATTGCGGGAACAGTCACTTATTTTTATGACGGCTACGCAGTTGATAGCAAGATACAAGATGAAAAGTTGAAAACACAACTACCTCCAGGAAAGAATTTTAACATTGGTTTGGGCGATGGAATAGGGACGTTGACACAACTGAATATTTGGGGTTATGAAATAGCAGCGAAGAATGTTATAGCTATGTCATCTGGAGGATTCAATGTACATGGAAGTGTGATGTCTTGGAGCAGCTTGGCGAAGTATGTCCCCAGTGAAAGCATCATCAATTACTGGAATTCTTCCATCTATCTGCCAGGTAAGACTGAGGATCTTAATAATAAGTTCTTTGGATCTTCCCATTGTTGTCAGCTAAATAAAATTCCAGTCAGCTAATATAACAGGAGCCAACGCTGCGTCCCAGCTCTGAGCAAACTTGCATACGTTGTCGCCGAAAATTTGTAGCCAAAGCATTTGCTCGAAAGTGCCCACACTAGTAGCCAGCCTGAATTTTGCTTCTAACGAAGAAGGAGTGTTTCCCAAAAAAGAAACTCCCAAGTGAGACTTTTGTTGCAGAAACAACATTTTGCGGTTTGCTCCCCTTTGGGAAACATTTCGGGAAACATGGCTAAGAAACAATGTTTACTGGTTTATGCATCTTCGGGAAATTAACATGGCTGATAATAACAGTGTTTCTTATTTATCTATCTTTGGGAAGCATGGCTGAGTTCCAAAAGCTTTTTCAAACTTCCCCTGATTAAGACACCAGACTGGAGTGTGACGAAGTTCGCAACATGCATGTCATTTGTTGGAGATTCAATTAACTGAAATCTAGCGCCTGTTACAGCAGTATGATGATGATGATGATGATGATGATGATGATGATGATGATGATGATGATGATGATGATGATGATGATGATGATGATGATGATGATGATGATGATGATGATAACTTTATTTGAGTGTTCATCTTATAGTTGAGCACAAGTAAGCCTATAGCGCATACCATGAGCCAAGTATTAACCAGATTCTCTCGTTCTGTTATGCAGGCTTTACAGTTCTGGGGAAGAGAACAAAATGGTGCAACGACATTCTTCCCGATGTTTCATGCCCAGCGCAACTTCTAGCAAGACTGGGAGGCCATAAAATTCGCGAGAGATTGGAGTGGCGTTGTTATTGCCCAAAATCACTCCACGACGCAAAATACACTTACGACTTTTCTACATCAAGTCCGAGCTATTTCAGCAGACATAGCGAGCTTAGTACTATCAACTGAAGAACAAGTATATGTAACTTGGGGGTTTCAGGATATGTGGTATAAAGCTTTTAATGCACCTGAAAATTTAATAATAACATTAACATTAATTAAACAGTAAGTCTATCTGTGGTCTGTCCAGAATGGAAGAGTCATGCAGCCCTGTGGATTACTTAGCAAGAATAGCAACTGTATTACTTTTGGAGGATTCGTAAGTAAACCTTGATATAAAACCTTTATTGAACCTGAAGACGTTTCTTTTTCGGACTAATAATATATTGTAGCAGATGTGATTAACAAAGTGAGAAAATAATATGTGGTAGTCCTCCTCTCCAAGGCTCAGAATAAATTGAGAGCTGTGGAAACTGACGTGAACTGCATGTATTAAGACCTGTCTATGACGATACGATATTAGTCGTATACACACAATTCTTATTCTGGTGTATGTAAACGAAGAAATGCGCATAAAGAGGTCACATCTCAAATTTCGCCATGAATATATAATGAATAGGAATTAAGGCGTCAGCAGTCATTTTCGTACGCCAGAACGACAATTCTATAACGTGTATTGTACTTATAATGCCTATACATTGCACAAAACGTGACTGCAATAATATATATGTGTGTTAATAAAGTTTATTGCCGTGAAACAAATGTACAATTTTATATGTGAAAAATGATATAAATGAAGAAAAAAAAACAAAGTAAAAATAATGGCCGCGTGGCAAGCTCATTGACCCGCAGGCTAGAGCTTATAAACAGCCTGATACATGCAATATCATGCCGATTTACATAAACCTACAGTTTTCTTACTCTGCGCCACAGCTCTGAACAAATGTTTTTGCTCGAATGGTTTTCCATTTCCCCACACTAGTCAGCATTGTATAGCCGGCCTGAATTTTGCTTCTTAAGAACCAGAATGTTTCCCAACAAAGAAACCATAGGCGTACGGGACGGGGGTCAGCTGCCCCCAAAAAGATTACAAAGTCGAAAAGTCGGGAAAATGTTCAACAAAAGTCGGGCAAAAAGTCGGGGGGGGGAGGTCGCCAAACTAATAATTGTTCTGGGAAAAAAATTTTTAGCACTGGTCGGGCACAATCCGAAAACCCCCTAATTTTTTCCCGTCCCGTACGCCTATGAAAAAAACTCCTTTCTGTTCCCCAAGCGAGATTTCGTTGGGAAAACATGGGTAACCCCGAAACAGGCCAAATGTGTTTTCGCCACTTCCATTTACTCGGTAGAATAACAGGTCATTAAGGATTAAAAATTAATGGCATGCACATTTTTGTATCTAATATTTGTGATATTTGTTTGCACGTTCATTGTTTAGCGCTTGACGTTTTACGAAACGTTCAGTTTGCCAGACAGCTGAAAGCAATTGTGGGGACGCACGAACACTGAAGGCTTACAACGGTAAAAATGAGGTCTCAGGCCGGAAAAAAATCAGGGTTTTACATGTTTTGGGGTATTTTGTTAGTGGTTTTAGCAAATGGAGCAAGTGCGTCGAATGCTGGATTCTGTCGACAAGGCCTTTTCAAGCCAAGCAAAGGTAAAAATTAAACTGTTATATTGAGTTGCAATCAAAAACGAAACTGTGGCAATAAAATACATCGACAATTTTAAGGGAAACATTAAATTAACTTAACTTCAAATAGACTTTCATGCAGTCCACTGCTCAGAAATCTAATATTGTGTTAATTTCCCCATATTCCACACGCTGTCTTATTGGTATAGAGGGAAGGACGGGATATTTTAGGTAAGATACTTGGAATCATACTGCAAATCTGCAATATCACAGAAACGGATCATGATTTTATCAACAACTTTTGCCCAAACTTAATTGTCACATAAAAAATTTAAACTTTCAATCGATTAACTTCCCTTCGTCGAGAACTTAGTCACCAACTTTCGATTCCAGCGGGCCTTCGCTCGAAACGTCGAAATTCTCCTTGTATTTTTCAAATAGATAAATAGTTTTATTAAAATTAACTTTGCAGCCCAAGGGCTGAATTGTGTTAACTATTACAAAAATAAGCCTCAATCCGCTATAACATGATGTACTAGACTAATAAATACTTTAAATTTAATTATATCTTAAGATTGTAATGAATTATGTACAATAAAAGTTTTCCTATGTCGTTCTGTCTGGAAGTTAACATTAAATTTGTCTTATCAACCCAAGTTTCGTTATTATTCACATTACCTACACTGGCACTAAAAACCGTCAAAAAATAAAGCATTAAAGGTCGTCAGGTTTAGATTACGGTTATATAGAGTCGGGGTTAGATTTGGGTCAGGGTTCAAATGATGAAGGCATGCACTATTGCACGACTCAAATGATCACCCTTGTTGGGTATCGTCCCGTTCGCCCGTATTTCTCAATTTAGAAATCCTGGCTGTTATATCCATTGAGATAATGTGACACAGGTGCATCTACTGCTTAGCATAACAATGTATACACGTCGCAGATAAGGCATCTGTATATTGATTATTGGATCAAAAATTTGTACACAAACTTATAATGGCAGTTGAATATATATCTCGATTTAATACGGCAACGTCCAAGCACAAATCGCCATTTTATCGATATATATGTGCAAATACGAGTAAAAGGTTGCGAATTTTTACACCAAATATTAATAAAGGCTTTTCGAAAATAAAAGATTGAGGATGCTAAACCGATAATCTATACAGGGTGTCCACAAAAAAGTACCCTCTATATAGAAATCAGATCTTTTGTTGTAAAATGTGCGTTGTTACATCTTTGGGAATTTATTATAGCTTCTAAAACGAACAGCAACACAAAAATCTAAAATTACAAATTCAATACAGTCATTTCGCGAAAGAATGCATTCATGTCCAGTTAAATTAAATTCCCAAAGGTATACCAACGCACGTTTTACAACAAAAGAACCGATTTCAATAGAGGGTACTTTTTTGGGGGACACCCTGTATATATTACACAAGGATGGGTTGTAGCGAAGTAGTTGCAGTTCGCTACTGTAGCGAACTACAATTTTCAAGTAGACAGTAGTTTTTGACTACTTTTTTAAAACGGTAGCTGTAGTTATAGCGAACTACATTTTGCCTAAAAGTAGCCAAGTAGTTGACTACTTTTCAAACAGCGAATCGCTATTCGCTACTTTTAAAAATTATTAGCAACTTGATATAGAATAGCATGATATTGAGGTAATATCAACACTCAATAGTCAATTTGCACTCCTGAACACTGTAGTGCTTACAAAAATGTTGCTTTGTGCTTACTGTTGCTACTCGTAAGTCGATTTGTTACAGGTTACATTACAGCCTGAGTTAGTAGATGCTCCAAATACAGTAAAACTAAAAAATATAGCGTAGCGAAATAGCGAAATAGTTCGCTACATTTGTTAAGGAGTAGCTGTAGTCAGTAGCGAACTACCTTTGTTCAAAAGTAGCAGTAGTAATTGTAGCTGACTACATATTTTTGAAGTAGCTGTAGTTATAGCGAACTACAAAAATTTTGTAGTCAACCCACCCTTGATATTACAGAGAACAGGAAACGCGCAATATACATGCTGCTGAACACTTTTTAGCAGGTCCTTCATTATTTTATTAAACAGTTTTATTCATGAAATAGAATTGTTTTGGCATTGCGAGTTCAGTCTGCAAAATTCCAGGGTTGTAAAATGTTCTAACCACTCAATTTTGGTGCAAAATTGTGAGTGAGAATTTACCAAACCTCGATGCTCACACATGCGTTGCGGCATCTTTATTCAAGCGACTTAAATTTGAATCCCAAATGAGAATAATTTCAATACTCGGACAGTATCAGGGCAGGAAAACCTTTTCTGGGAGCACAACCTGGAGACCAACATTTCCTACAGACCAACGGAGTATTTTTGTGCCAAATCTGCATGTGCATGCATAAACCTATAATGTTGTAGGTCAAGGAATAATGTCTGTCAACCATATGTTGTTGCGTCCATAGTGGGACATGGGTGTTAAGGCTTCGTTAAATTTTAATTCAATAGCAACTCTTCATTCAAACGAATTTCCTGCAGCTGTTTAACATTTCCTGCGAGCAGTGCTCGCGTGCTCGCCTATTTTTTCCACCCCTGGACAGTATAGTGGATAATGCCAAGGGGATGGGCCTGACAGCAAACGTCTATAATTGTGGTATCTGTCAATTTTAGAACCACTGTACGTTAATGTTACAAAGCAAGTTCTTGTCCAGTCCGTTTTGGAATGTGCGCATCTCTGCCGAACTGAAAAAACCTGTGAGGCTTTCAAACACAGAAACGTTTATGACGACGTCAACTGCCAAATAACCGAAGGTGAACCTGAAGTTTCAACAGTGCTGGAAAATAATGCGAAAGAAAAATGGGGACTTTACATACAGACAACAATTGACTTGGTAGGAATTATCCAATTGTTTTTAAGACGTTTTACAAAAGCTTGCATGATATACAGATTTATTGGTCTTATATATTGTGGACATATCTTCGTCAGTCTCCTGTAAGAAGAGTGTTTCCGGTATTACTCTACCAAACACCGCGTAGTAACTCGCGACCAATGAAGAGATGATCCTTACTGAACATCCAGGAGGAACAGTTTAGAATTGAGAAAGCTATCCAGCATAAATAAAGTTAGTTTAGTTTAGGTTTCCTATTTTAGCATTTAACAAATAGGGAACCAATTTAGGACTGATATAGAGCTATCGAATATAAAGACAATAAAGTATAACAATTTCATCAAAAGTTACATTTCTGCATCAGTTACATTGACTACGAATAAGAATTCAAATATTTTGTTTTTCCATTCCCAGCCGGACTGTGTGAAGAAGAATTTGTGCAATGGGGCTGGACGATGCTTGGCTGACAGCTGTGAGGCCGACGGCTTCAAATGCAAATGTTCTGATAATCATTATGGAAAATATTGTCAATATGAAAAGTTTTGTAAGTAATATAATTTTTCCTCGTTCATTTCCTCCATTATTTTCTCACTCTGATAACTGCAGGTTCTTAGTGAAATCTAGCAATACGATCAATTTTCCTCTATTTTAGATGACTACGACATAAACTTCCCAAACACCACGGCTAACAACTTCATAGACCTGGGAACAATAGAGATGGATTTTAAGGAGTTCACGTTCACCGCATGGATTAAGTTTAATCCAGGATTTACTAAATACCCTCTGGTCTCATACATCGCTAAAAACACGACAGAAATGTTCGCGCTTGCGTTTCGCTCAGATGATACAAGCGGGACGACAATCGGCGCATTTTCTGGAAATTTACTTGGTCAGCATGTCGAGTAAGTCTTTTTAAGAAATATTTTATATAACGGGGGTGGGGAGGTGAGAAGATCATGCCTCTGGAGTTGAATTACAAATGACGCGGCTCCAACGTGATGAAATTGAAGGTTTGGTAGCGCGCCCATGGCTGCCATTATACAGCCAATAGGGAGTTTACACACGGAAGACGGCGACGTCAGGACGGCGGCAATCATTAATCAAATAATGACATTAATCCTATAGCATAAAACAAATGAAGAATTAAAAAGTCGAGCAGGGGTTTTGGACGTCGTTCAAGCTCTGTTGACAACGGCAACTTAGCATATTTTCACGTCTCGTATAGTACACCAGCATTTCAAGCTGTTACGGGTAGTTTTTTATATGCCGGACAATATATGGAAAATAAAAACGCCCTTTCGTCGGGCAAGAAGAACACAGCCCCCTAATACGTACAGTGACGTTGCGCACCTGCTAGCAAGCTCAGATCAGGAAAACTTTTGTGCTATCACATTTTCCAACCGTTTTTTTCTAGTACAAATACCATACCTATAGACGATGGTTACTGGCACCATGTGGGATTCGCATGGTCTGGTGTTACTGGAGAGTGGATCTTACTTATTGATGGTGTTCTGTGGGCGACCAGAAATGTTTCCACAGTAGGGAAAATATCATCAGGTGGTGTGCTAACCATCGGGAAAATTATAGACAATGGAGTAGTTTACCATTTAGTTGGAAACGTAAGTCTTGTGAATCTATGGAGCACAGCAAAGACGGGTGGTGAGATTGAAGAGATAGCTAAACGACCTGGGTCAAGAGATGGTCATTTGATCACTTGGTTTATGGTGAAGGATTTAATATCTGATCTACGAATCATTCGTCCATCTACGGCAGCTTTCTCAGGTTTTTGTTTTAATGAAAATAATTCGCGAGGTCTGTCCTTAATAGTCCATTATCACTACCCATATAAGAAAACAAGAATGTAGAAGAACACGAGGCAAAATTACAATCTGACAACTATAGCAGGATCTGAATCCTGACACAAAGATGAAAGTCACATAGAATAGAATAAGAATAATTTATTTAATGTCGAATGACACAGAGTGCGGTTGCCCAATCACTCGAGCCAGGGGCTCACGGTAGACTTGCTCGACAATAAAACACTCTAAAACACTGCGACACTAATACTATCTTTAACATTTAAATCGATTTAGGTAACGGAACCAACTACGAGATAAATCTACCACTCGCGAATGTGAATTATCCAGGACCATACAAAACCACGAGATTTTTGTCAAGCTGTCTTTGGTTCTATGGCAGTAATGTCGATGGAAACACAACCTTTTTTGTCTATGATACCGTGAACATATTTGGCATCAGTTCAGTCGACATGGTTTCCACAATTAATGGTTTTTCAAGCAAAAGGTGTGTCTCATCATTTCGGAAGCGTTTTTGGCGACATATGAATCATGTATGCTACTGTAGTTAAGGGTAGGGTATTTCAGACTATTTTTTTCTGCCATTATTTCTGTGGAAATACTGAAATTTCTTCGCATTAATTATGAGCGTCTGCAGTCTGGCTCCGCTGTGTCGGGTAACCACACCAGTGGTTCCTATGTATACAATGGAATGAAAGGGTGGGGGCATCCCTTTATGCATACATCTACCTAATAGACAATTCCCATTATAGACTATTTTAGAACTAGGCAAGGAGATGCAAATAAATCACCACAGCTAGAAAGAGCATACTAAAATTAGTAAAATTGCAAAGTTTGGTTGCGAAATGTTGTAAAATGCAGAAAATATAGCCTTGCAAAGTTTGCAAATTTTGTATACTTTTGTATTGCGTGCGGAAATTCCTACCACATTTGGGCCCGAATGTGGTAGGAATTCCGCACGCAATACAAAATGACTGAAAATTTATGACTGAAAGGCTGTATTTTCTGCATTTTACAACATTTCGCAACCAAACTTTGCAATTTTACTAATTTTAGTATGCTCTTTCTAGCTGTGGTGATTTATTTGCATCTCCTTGCCGAGTTTTAAAATTAGTCTATAATGGGAATTGTCTATTAGATATCTACATAATGAAAATCTTTCTCTCCCCAGAAATACTGTTAAAGGTTTCAGGCAATGGCATTTTCTTTGTATACAATGGAACGGAATTGCGGGAACAGTCACTTATTTTTATGACGGCTACGCAGTTGATGGCAAGATACAAAATGAGACGTTGAAAACACAACTACCTCCAGGAAAGAATTTTAGCATTGGTTTGGGTGAAGATGGAATAGGGAAGCTGACACAACTGAATATTTGGGATTATGAAATAGCAGCGAGTAGTGTTATAGCCATGTCATCTGGAGGATTCAATGTGCATGGAAGTGTGATGTCCTGGAGGAGTTTGGCGAAGTATGTCCCCAGTGAAAGCATCATGAATTACTGGAATTCTTCCATCTATCTGCCAGGTAAGACTGAGGATCTTAATAAGTTCTTTGGATTTCCCCTTGTTGTCAGTTAAATAAAATTCCAGTCAGCTAACAGGAGCCTCGCTGCGCCCCGGCTCTGCGAGCAAACTGGAATACGCCAAAACTCTGTAGCCAAAGCATTTGCTCGAAAGTGTCCACACTAGTAGCCGGCCTGAATTTTGCTTCTAAAGAAGAAGCAGTGTTTGTCAACAAAGAAACTCTTTTTTGTTCCCCGAGTCCGATTTTTGTTGCAGAAACAACGTTTTGCGGTTTGTTCCCCTTTACGAAACATGGCTAGGAAACAATGTTTCATTGTTTGTCCATCTTCGGGAAACATGGTTAGGAAATAATGTTTCATTGTTTGTCCATCTTCGGGAAACATGGCTAGGAAATAATGTTTCGTTGTTTCTCCATCTTCGGGAAACATGGCTAAACGTCTTTAAGTCTCCTGGAGTGTGATGAAGTTCGCAACATGAATGTAATATGTTGGAAATTCTAGTACTGATTAACTGAAATCTAGCGGCTCTTACAGCCGTATAATGATGAAGATAACTTTCTAATATAGCTGAGCACAAGTAACTCGGCCTAGCGCATATCATGAGTTAAGCATTAACCAGATTCTCTCGTTCTGTTATACAGGCTTTACAGTTCTGGCGAAGAGAACAAAATGGTGCAACGACAAATATCCCAGTACAAACGATACTTTATGTCCAGGGCGACTTCTAGCAAGACTGGGAGGCCATATAGCTCGAGAAAAATTGGAGTGGCGTTGTTTTTGCCCAGAAGCACTCTACGACGCAAAATACACTTACAACTTTTCTACATTAAGTCCGAGCTATTACAGCAAATATAGCGCGCAAATTGGTGCTATGAACTGAACAACAATTATATGTAACTTCGGGGTTTCTGGATATATGGTATAAAGCTTTTAAAGTGCACATGACATGAACTTTTTTATTTTCTTAAATGAAAGAGCATTTTAAGCTGTAATGTAACTTATTTTTCAGTTTCTTGTTTTTATGGTTTGTTCCCGAGATATTTCAATTTGTTTGGTATGTAAATGAGTGTGAATATATTTCCGCTAATTTATGACGTCATGTTGGTTGCAAGCTCGACTTACACTGGTTATAAATCTATTAACTCTAAAACTGTAGACATCCAGTTCACGTTTTTCCCCAGTATTTTATCACATTTACCAGTGAGTGAAGTTAGAAATTATTATCTTGGATGACAGCCGTAATATTCAACCATTTTGAAGAGCTTACAACCAACGTGACGAATTAGCGGACATATTCACACTCATTTACATACCAAGCAAATTGAAATATCTCGGGAACAAACCATAAAAACAAGAAACTGAAAAATAAGTTACACTGCAGCTTAAAGAGTTCTTTCATTTCAGAAAGTAAAAAAAATCATGTCATATGCACTTTAATGCACACTTGAAAATTTAATAATAACATTAACTAAATAGTAAGTCTATTGATCTGCATGTGGTCAGTCGAAAATGGAAAGTCAGCCCAGTAGATTACTTAGCAAGAATAGCAACTGTATTACTTTTGGAGGATTGGTAATTAAATCTTGATTTAAAGCCTTTACTGACCTGAAGAGGTTTAGTTTTCGGACTAATAATATCATGCATGTCAGCATGTCTAGCAGATGATGGTCAGCCTGCTTAACAAAATGAGAAAATAACATGTGGTAGTTCTACTTATAATGCCTATACATTGGTCATTGCACAAAACGCGAAATCATTACCGTGCATAGGGAGCTTATATACAGCCTGATACATGCCATGATTTACATAAACTTACAGTTTTCTCACTCGATATCACAATATTAAAATTACTGAAGAATACGTATATGTTGGCGTCTATGTTGTCAAGTATAATGCAGCCACCCGTATAGTATAGTATAATGCAGCCAATACGTAAACGTTCTGCATGCCAATTATCTAACTAGTATATCTCTTTATCCTAATATTGTAAACACTACAGTATTTACCTTTCAATACATCAAATTTGTAATTATCTTGTATATACCTTATAAAACTTTTCTTCTGCATTTAATACAGTCGAACCTCTATTAAGCGGCCACCCTCGGGGATCGGCTTTGTGGCCGCTTAAATAGAGGTGGCCGCTAAATAGAGGTGCGCAAATAATAGACCCTGGGCGTAGTCAAATGCCTATTTTTAATTATAAATCACAGAATACAATAGTGAACAGTGAGTAGACTTTAGAAATATCAGGCCGCCAAACACTGACACTTTTACTGCTGACAATGCTTTTGAAGTGTAAAATGGCGTGTGTTAAAACATAATTTTTAAGCATTATTTTACAAATAAAGCAAATTAGCTCGACTTTTATTTGCGGCTCTCTTGACAAGGTGTTGTGCCAAGTAAATCCTGCAGGCTGGCCGTTTAATAGAGGTAAAAATTGACATAAAACATCATTTGGGACCGCTCTTTGGGTGGCCGCGGCCGCTTAATAGAGGTGGCCGTTTAATAGAGGGATAGTTTATAGTATTTGTATAACAAAAATGCGGGACTTCGATATGTGGCCGTTTAATATATATACAGGTTGGCCGCTCAATGGAGGGCCGCTTAATAGAGGTTTGACTGTATTATCTTAAAAATTACTGTAAATAATAAAATAATCTAAATAGGGCATGACTAGTGGCCTAGATACAAAAGCCTGCAAAGGTTTCTAGTAGGTCTCTAGCCCAAATAGTTAATTTGTAATAATGTATTAATAATTGTAATGTACATGGGAAAAAAAAATTTAAAAAAAATGAATTTATGTAACCAGTATATGACTTCATATGAGAACCTGACTAGATTTCAAGTCCCCGTAATTTGAAGTTTGAGTATATATAACACCGCAAGTTAGCGGGGGTTCCACTGTTGTAACCGGCTCCAATATCACAGGACATATAATTTGCATATATAATATAAGAATACCTAAACAAATAAAGTGAAGCTTTCGACATCTCTTGTTGATGATTAAATACTCAGCAACAATTCAGCGTTGTGAGTATGTGTGACAAAAGATTGTAACAAAATGACAGGGTTGATAGACGATTTTATCGATATAACCCACGAGATACGGTCGTTATCATCAAGTTCTACTCTATCGGGCAACACAACTAATTCGGAACTTATACGACAAACATTATCAAACGATGCTCTGCTTGCCGTGTTGGCTAACAAGACCGCGCTATCGGCAGAGGAAATAGAACTAACGATTACTAGTATTTATGTCAACGCACAAAACATTCAAAATGTCTACGAGATGTTTACTAACTCAGTGGATCTGAATCTGAATGACAGCATACAAGCGTAAGTATATTGTCTCAATGTAGACATTCCGGCGAAATATGTTTCAATAGGAAGATTTTGTATGATTTGTATATCATGAGTATAGAAATTTGTATATCACGAGTATAGAAGCTAGAGCGATTGAGCGAAGCTATATTATGTGATATTAATCTTTGCATTGTCATACCCCAACTAGATAGGGTTATATGAGTAACATAATGATCGACAAGTTTTACACAGTAACACAAGTTAGCCCAAAGAATTCTGATTTCTGTATATCGACAACCTATAAAAATGTAAATTGACAAACATTCCTGCAGTTTGACTGCTGAAACTATATGTAACAATTATAAATGCTTTGATTCAAGAAGGCAAATTTGTCATGTCTTTAAGTTCGTTTATATTATCTATAATATTGTGTCGACAAATCATGTGTCTTGCATAGCAACCCGCTGCAATTGGCCTGCAATTTTCATCATTATATTTAGAGAACCTATGTTAACATTTCACAAATGTCGTCCTTCTAATCTTGCCGTCATGGTAATAGCGTGACAGTTAATCAGCCTATATCGCTAGACTGCAGTATTTATATGTAACATAATTTGCCTACGCGTTATTTTTAAAATGTACTGTAAAATCGCCGCTATTTCGTTTGCAATATGTGTCTCAATAAGTATGCATCTAGCGTATTTTATTACTTCGGAAAACATCGGTTGAATTTCATGCCGCCTTTTCAATACGCACGCGTTCTTTGATCGGCTGCACAAAGTCCTGTATTTGTTACATGCGTGTCCAATTGTTTCCGGCCACTTGTGAAAAGACAAGCTGACGAAGACTAATAATTTATATGACCACTTGAATTATAAGTATGGAGGCTAAAGCAAAGAAACTAAAGGTAAAGTAATACGAGCAACAAAATTGCAGCAGCTTGCAATAAAATCTTACTTCAACGCATGTTAATTGAGATGTTCACACACAAGTTGCAACACCCGAGACAACGTTAGTACAAATTTCTAATTAACATGCATTAAAATCAGATTTTATTGCTGCATTTTGTTGCTCGTATTACTTTACCTGAAAACCTTCCTATATTTTCAAGTATTATCACCACGGTACCTGATTTTCTGTTTTTATTCATGAATTATCAATGAGCTTGAGAACAGCGGCAGAGGTACTGTATGAAGGATGCTTGTCGTATGAAAGATCTTCCTTGGAATCTGAAAAGATAGATGCATTATTTTCAAGTTAAAATGTTTTTGGACAATGACATCTTTTAGATCCTAACTATTTCCTGAGGACCACCTAAAGACCTAGTGTGCCACCCTACATACGGGGCTTAAAACGAGTCAGCGTGTTTGTGCACTATCACTATGTCCCGACAGAAGAACAGAACGGATTTAGAACCGTACACAAATTCGCTTGTTTCATTTCGGATAACACGAGAATTCGTACAGTTAAATGTTCTCGGATACATCAGGTTTTATGAGTCATGCCTGTGTTGAGAGAAACTCAACAACCTGAATAATATATGCAGAACTACAATCCTGGCAAAAATTATTGTGGACAGCACGCGCGGAAATAGAAATACCATCCTTGGCATTGATATACGTGAAAAACAGCAATGTTTAACTTCCTCCTCCCCCCGGTTCAATGTTGAAAGCTTATACATTGGTTAGGTAAAAGCTTTGCGAAATGCATGTCAGGACCAACATTGTAGGGGGGAGTGGGGGAGGCCAACATGTGCATGCCAACAGTAATACTTTAGTTTACACCTCAGTGTCCACGGAATTTTTGCCATGATTGTAGCTTCGACGTTTCGAGCGAAGGCCCTTAGTTGGATGCCATTTGTCGGAGGCCCCTTATCGAAACGTTCTGCTTAGATTTTTCGGGTAGTTGAAAATCTCTCGACCACACCCGACATCTGTCATATAATAGCGTTTTACACAAGGGTTTTTGAGAAAGGCAATTTCACCATTTTAAGTAGATTGTGTTCTTGTTAAACGTACTTTTATATAGTTATGTAAAGATATTTTGCACACGTCCCCCGTGGAAAGAGCTTAAGTTGAGCTGGGAATATTTTCGGTGATATTGTTCACTTTTTCTTCTCACCACTAGGGGGCTGTCATGTTCAATTAAGCGAGAACAACACCTACGCGGTATTTACGTCTCGGATTTTTGAAGGCCCTCACAAGATATCGAAAACAAAGTTTTCTTTTCAGTCAAAAAAAATAGCAAACGTTTCCTGTGATACAATAATATAGGTCTTCCAGTGACGATTTTTGAAGGGAACTGTGTGTGTTGAAGCGCGACTGGCCGATATCGAATATCCCTCGTGAAATGGAGGCTACCTCATTACCATCCCAAGACGCTTCAAGTCTGCTGTATTTTTTGTGTAACTTTCTTCTTTTCCTAGAAATGTGACATATTGTGGAGGGCGTTTGGACAACAATAACCTGGTCATTGCTTCATTTGTCCCAGCTGTAAGTAGCTAGTTTCCCGCTCTTTTTAACCATGTTCCTTAAATTCCAGTGATGTATTATATTCATCATCTGCTTCTGTTCGTTCGTTCTGCTCAATGTTATAACTAGCCATTCATGCTTTATATAATGTTTTATTTTATCATTGTTAAGGGAGGTGCCTTGCATACTCGGTTCTTTCTAATCGTTTTAATGTGTTTTTTTTCCAGTTAATCATAATGATAATTCTCTCATGTGTAAACACACGATTATGGAAGCGAGGCTGTTGCAGTGGGCGACCAGGATTAGCAATGTACGTAGCAATGAAGTTCTTCTAATTCGAATTCGAATTTACGGTAGGACTTAATTGGGAACTACAACAGTCCTAAGTTCTTTGAATGTTTGCATGGCAATAAAATATAATTGTTTTTGTTTGTGGAAACACCACGTAAATTTATTACTGCAAAGCTTTCGATCCGTAAGCCCGGATCTTCATCAGTGCTAATAATATGTAATAATGAAATATTATTAGCACTGATGAAAATCCGGGCTTACGGATCGAAAGCTTTGCAGTAATAAATTTACGTAGTGTTTCCACAAACAAAAACTGTCAATCAGTGAATTGATTGCGAAGCTAATAAATAAATATATAGTAAGTGTATTTTACTATAGCTATCGATGGTGGGATCGTGAATCTACTTCTATGTACCCTAACGCACCCTTTCAACATTCCCTGTGGGAAGAAACCAGAGTATACCCAGAGAAAAGTACCCACGACTTTTGGTCCCTAACCTTCCCAATCAGCATCCCTCTGGGAAGAAACCGAACTGCCCGGAGAAAAAAACCCCACATGTCAACATACACTGGGGAAGAAAATCTAGCACCAAAAACCCCCTATGACTTTCGGCAGAAAGTACTGACTCAGTGACTGTACTTTCTACATGACTGAGCGCACGATCTCACTGATGAAAGGCACTTGCTTTGCGTCACTTAAGCCCGTTGTCATATCGCAAAGGACTACCTCAACACAATTTTATATATCATTTTTTAGCCCTGTGAACCTGTTGGACAGTTACGAAGACAGATATACTTATTCCTTTGCATTCGCTGCGACAGCATCGAGTATTGTCCAAATTATTCTCAACAATGATTTCAGCGCCGTGTTGGGTGAAGAGTTTCGAGAGATTCAAGTTCAAAGTCCATCATATGTAATAGGTAAGCAAATTTTTCATAATACTTTTCACCATCATCTTTCTTTGCAGCTGAGAACTAAATTGTGAAGGACACAGCTCAAACTTAATCGAAGGGTTACTATAGGACGAGGACACCTCTGGTTCCCAATATGCAAACCATGTGTGATCACAGAGCTCACCTAAGATTGAAGGACTAGTTTTTGGAGCCGGAAAACCAAAGTACCACTGTGAAAAGCTTTGAAGCATAAGAAAGAATCAAAGAAAGCTTATCAAATCCAGCTTAGCTTTCAGCTGCAATTAAGGATGATTAGCACCCCCTCCCCCCCCCCCCCCCC